GCGGCGGCGGCAGCATCACCGGGTCTGCCGAACGCGGACACGTGCCGCCGGAGCTGTCGGATGGCCCCCTCGACGCTCATGCTACGGTGCAGATGGTTCCGCACCAGCCGGAGGTGGACCACTTCCGCCACGCCTCGGATCTGGTGGTGATTGTTGTTGTTGTTGGGCCGTCGTGATCGTCGTTGTTTGGTTGAGAAAAACGAATTAACAAGAACAAAGATAATGTCATAGAGGAGAACAAAGATAATGCCACAGAGGAAACTCGACATCGTGTCACTGAAACTAAGTATCATGTGCCAAGGACAGCTTCGGCAAAGGGAGGACACATCTCAAACAGGGATTTCTGGCCCGCTTCGTCTCTTGGTGTCAAGGTGGTCGAACGGAGGGGAGGAAAACACGAACACTCGAAAGCACGCCCGCAAAGGTGAGGCAAGAAGAAGAAAAATTCGAGAGACTGCGCAAAAGACGTGTCAAGAAATAAACGCTGTGATTCGGGACGCCAATATCAGCAACACGTGCCTACCGCACAACAGGTACTACAGCTTCACAGCGACAACTCAAACACAGAACATCAATAATAGATCAATCTTGCAACATCGAATATTTCCTCTCGTCAGTCTCACCTGCTCCATCGGGTCCGCTCCCCCACGAAGGAATGCCCCCCCTAGCGTTCCTCCATCTGCGTCGCCCCTTCCACCCTGAAACCGTCCCTCGTCCCGCGGCACCATGTCGCTCAGAAGAGCCGACACCTTTCGATCAGTTTGCGAGAGATAACAACGTGCCGCGGGTGCAACGTACATGAATAGGGAGGGGTGGCACAGCGGTCAAGCAGTTGTTACCAACCAGCACCGATGTTGGCAAACGTACATACACGAAATCTGTGGACGGTACCGCTTGCCCAACCAAAAGCGCCAATAACATGAGAGACAGAGCAGGGTGCACAGGCTGAGCGTGTATTGGGGGGCGATGTGGGGAATGAATCAGCTCAATTGCCGTTGTACTGCACCCGGTGCCGCTCAGGATGCTTTAGTCTCAGCTTCTAATGGACCCATCAGAATACGGACACCGCCGTTAACCAATCCCCCCTCATTTCTCCCACCGCGCCAAAAGGGAAAACACAAAAGCAATCGCACGCGCGTACAAGTACAAGAGCATGCCACGCAAGACGCATCGTAAGTACCTCTTGGTAGCACAGCAAGCTCCTATCCACGAGGCCCTGCATCTCGTGAAGAACTCCAAGTTTAAAGTACAGCCTCGTCAGGAGCGGGCGGTACAGTCGCTGCGTAGGCACCAGCACCTTTTCCCATCTTGGGGGTTACACAGCATGTCGGAGAGAGGCACGAGAGGGGCTGCTGGATTAGGGTAGGGATAAGCTTGCGTGGGCGGGGCGGTGTTGTTTAGGGATACCCTTTTGCACTGCTCCCCGAAGAGGTACTAAGATGAGGCAAGCGTGGGCTGAGGCAAGGGTGCGCTGTTCTACGGAAGTGGGCTTGTCCGACCATTCCAACCCCTACACCAGAACTGCTGAGACTAGAAAATCTTCTCCCACCAAAGACCGGGTGTGCCCACGAAGGGGAAGGACTCCTGCTACCGCTGCTGCTGCAAGCGCCGTACGCTCAACAGGTCAAAATCGCGGTAGACCAACCGCTTGCACAATGCAGCACGGAGGGCTGAATGAGATGTTCCCTCGACATCGTCGTCAACTTCCCGTACGCATTGCCACTCTGGACAAACTGAGTAACCTTGTATACTTGTGTACACGGGGTTCGGTAGCACTGCTGTGTGGAGACGTCATCACCTTCGAAGGCGCGAGATGTGCGAGGCGTAGTGGGCGACGGCCAAGTCCTTGGCCGCCTTCGCGATGCGCCGCACCGAGGGGGGATTGCTGTGGGAAGCCAGGTCGGGCTCGCCGATCATGAGCACCATCCTGGCGTCGATCTCCGCCCGCCTGCGGAGGCTCAAAGCGCGCTCGTCGGCCACGTCCCGCTCCTCCCTGCCCCCGCCCTGCCCGGCCTCCGCGCCGGCCCGTACGAGCACCAACAATACCTGCTCGGGAGAGAAAGAGAGAGAGACAGAGAGAGAGACAGACAGAGACAGACAGACAGACAGACAGACAGACAGACAGACAGGTAGAGACAGAGGGTGAGAGGTTCAACCATAGGGTACGTTAAAAGGGGGGCGAGGGGAAACATGGCGAACACAGCGTGCTGCACGGGCAAAGTGATCGTCACCAAAAAAGTGCACGGCAGGCATGCGTGCATCGCAAGCGACTAGGCGGTACCAGCAGTAGTCGAGAACATGCGTGTTGATGACGGCATCTCTGTTCTCACGCCTAAAGCTCCGATGCTGCAACTCGCAGCGGTGGGTGCCATTGTCATCTACTCGCCATACTGCCAGCTGGGTTGCATCCACTGCTGTTTGTGAGTACGAGTAGTCGATAACAGGAGCATCCAGCAGGTGTCGCATGGGCAGGCGGAGACACGGGGAGTATCAACTACTGTAGTACCATAGCACAGCAGCAGAGCTGCGGGGCCAAAGCAATCGCGTGGCCAAACGCTAGAGAACAAAATATCAACCGTAGCGCTGCGCCACACAAAGCAACGCACACAGACTTTCCGCACGGACAACCACATTTGGCACCTCCCCGCACCTTGACATCCCGCGCCGCCATGTTCGCCACAACGCTCCTCAGATCTCCGACGATCTCATCCTCGGTGTTCGCCCAATCCTCCGCTCCCGCCGAGACGTCCACCGAGGCAAGGTACACTAGCGAGCCCGGGAGCTCTCGCGTGTGCTTGTGCAACCAGCCCCGCTTCACCAGCCCCTTCGGCAGGGCGCTGTCCACGACCCTGAGCCCGTCGGCCCCGCGCCAGGCGCCGCCGCTCGGCTTCTTCGCCGGGAAAGCGGCAGCAGTGCCTCGAGGCAGGCCGAGGAACCGTACCTCGGGGCCGATGGTCTCCGCCTCCGCCGCCAGGAGGGCGTCAATCACAAGCTCGTTGGCCGCCGCCGCCGCCGCCGCTGTCGACGCGTCTAGTTCTTCCTCGTCGCCTCCTCCCCCGGCGGCATCGGTGTCGGTGTCCCCCGCGGCGGTGCCGCTGCCTGCGCCGGGAGCCCTCTTGTTGATAAGGGGGTTGGCGTAGGCATGGGCCATGATCCCCACCAAAGGGCGGGGGTCCTCTAGCGCCTCTCGCTGATCAACCTGCATCGTATCGAATACGTGGCGTTCTACACGGCCTTCTGGATCCTTAGCGCTGCTTGCAGCAGCAGCAGCAACAGCAGCAGCAGCAGCAGCAGCAGCAGCAGCAGCAGCACGAACGGCACCCCCTGCGTTGTTTTGCCTACTGCACAGCACAGCAGGAGGAACCAAGGAGGAGCAAAACGGGGGGGGGGCACGCGAACAAGCAATTGATTTGTCCACCCTCGCATCATTCTAGTTGATTGTTCAAGTTCAAATATTGTACTCTGCGCTGCTCCTTGGGAGTTTAAGGAGACAACTTCAGCCGCACCCCTGAAGCGGGGAGAGCGAGCACACAATTTGCTGCGGTGGAGAGGCTACACAGCGGCCTGCTGCTGAGCCAGTGTGCGTGTGCTGTCCTTGGATGCTGTTGCTTGCCTTCCCATGCTCCGAGGGCTCGTCCTGCTGTCTTGGGAGCGGAGATTGGCCGCTGGACCCGCACGAGATACTCCTGCATCCGCAAGATCTGGAGCACCTACGGGTGCCGGGCTTCGGCTACGTTGCGGTCAACCGCAACAACGGCAGCGTCGACGCCAACAGCAGTAGGAGCAAAGGTGGCTGCCACCGTCGTTCAGCAGCACAAGTAGAACACAGCAATGCTGCAGCACAGGAGGAGGAGGAGGAGGAACGCCAGAAGCCACTCGCCTATTGCAGAGCGGTTCCAGACGACTCTCTGGCTCCGGGCGAGACTCGAGCTCCCGCGTGGCTCCTGAGTGCCGCGGGAGTACAGCCCCGGCAGCACCTATCGATTTCTCGCCCCTCCGAGGTTCAAGAGGCTGAGAAGTTAGCCGCGCCCTTGCGAGGGGATGACCAAGAACAGCACCATCTGCTCCGTGTCCGTGTTGATGTGGCCCTCAAGCACCGACAAGGGGAAGCGGACGCCTCGGCAGGGGACTGCCCATCTCCTGCCGGCAACGGGGACTTTTCGCAAAACGTCCACAGCGGTGGTTATGTTAGCAAGTGCGACAGCCGCGCTATCGCGAGACGCGTTTCTGGGTGCATGGTGCGCGACGGGTCGCTTCTGGCTGCCGAGGTTCTGGGCGAGACGGTCCTTCTGCAGGTCACGGCCATCTCTTGTGGCAACGACGACGGCGGTGATGCATCCCCCGTCAAGCGGCCTTTGATAATCAACTCGGGCACTGAGGTTGCGTTGATGAGACCACAAGAACCGGAGAGATCTCGGAGTCCACCCGTTTCGTGGGACGGGCAGCCGGTTTCACCCGGAGGGGAGCAAAGCCGCCGCCGCCGCCGCCCAAGGCGCCGACCCCAACTGCAAGCTACCAAGGGCTGCGCGGAAACCTGGGCTCGGCAGGCACCAGGCTTGGAGGCTGCTCTGAGCGAGCTCCGTGCCCTTGTCCTCCTGTCTGTCGGCGGCAACAGCGGCGGTGCCTGGTCAGGCGTCCTACCCGCGGGGGTCGCCCTTTGCGGCCCCTCCGGCGTCGGCAAGACTCTCTCGCTCGACCTTCTCGCCGAAGACCTCAGCGAAAACCACGGCATCCACGTGATTCGCCTCCTCGGGCCTCAGATCCTGGCCGGCTCCGGCCAAGGCGGAGGAAGAGGCGGCGTTGGCGGCGGGACGAGAGCCTCGGCAGTGAGCTCGCCGTTGCAAGGGCCGCTCGGCCTGGCCCTCTCCGAGGCCCGCGCCCGCGCTCCGTCCGTCCTCGTCTTCGACGAACTCGACGCTCTGTTCGATGCTTGCGGCGGCGACGAGGGCGGAGACACCGCCCCCCTAGGTGAGGGGGCGAGGGCGAACGCGGCGCTGCTCGAGGCGCTGGACCGCGCCTCCGCGATCGAGGGAGTGGCCGTGCTGGGTGCGACTCGCCGTTCGCCGGGCGGGAAGGGGGGCGCCGGGTGGGCGGGGCTGGAAGAGGGCGAAGGTGGAGGACGCGACGGTGCCGCCCTTCCCGCGGCGTTCCGGAAGCCCGGCCGATTCGATAGATGCGTGACGATCGGACCCCCTACGCAAGCTCAGCGCGAAAGGATCCTTTCTATGGTTCTGTCGACAGCGGCAGGGGCGGCGGAGTTGGAGCTTGAGCCGCTTGCAACAGCCCTTCAGGCGCGGCCTGTTGCTGGAAGTACGGCCGACGAGATGTCATCGGGAAAACCCGTCGTAATTGCTTCAAGAGATGCACCGGACCTGGAGCCGGAGCGAGAACCGACGACAATCTTTGCCGATAAGGACGACGCTCGAGGCGGGCGAGGAGGGGGTCGAGGTCCTTCAGGCGGAGCAGAAAGAAAGACGGAAGACAGCAACAGCGAGTCAACGGAGGCGGGCGCAGCGGCGGCTGCCATTGCGGCAGAGTGGGCCAAGCGCCTGAGCTCGCTGACCCCTGGCATGGTCGGGGGCGACCTGGAGCGTCTCGTTCGCACGGCGCGGGCACGCTCCTTGCAGCGCGGGCGGGACCCGGCGGGACAACAAACAACACAGCCCTCGCCCCCCAGGGTTTTGATGTGGGGAGACGCGATGGCAGCGGTTGCCATCACCGTACCTCGGTCACTGCAGGGATTAGACGTGGCATCGACCGGCAGCGGCGGTGAAGGTGGCGGCGGCGGCGGCAGCGGCCCAACGTGGAGCTCTGTCGGCGGTTTCTCGGAAGCGAAGCGTCGCCTGCAGCGGCTGGTTCAGTGGCCGTGGCTTCACCCCGAAGCGTTCGCACGAATGGGGGTGTCCGCGCCCGCCGGGGCGCTGCTGTATGGGCCGAGCGGGTGCGGCAAGAGCCTCGTGGCGCAGGTGTTGGCGACGGAGTGCCTGGCGAATTTTTTGTGGGTCAGGTCGTCGGAGCTGCTCTCTAGGTGAGATAGTACTAACTTGATGGGGGGGAGTCGGAATGTTTGCAACGAGCGAACGAAGAAGGCTCTCATGCCTTCCAAGGTAGGCAAATCTTGACGGCCCGAGCCTGTGGCTGGCTTGATGCTTCCTCGCCTTCAACGGCATGTGTCCCGCTGAGAGTCTTTCCGTCATGACTCTTGTGTCATGACTGGTAGGTTCCCCCGCCGACCCCAGCTTCTATCGGCAAAGCAACTCCCTGGAGTCGCCTTATCTTCGCCTCCGGATGATTGTTGGGCCCTCACCGCCTCGTCGTGAACTCTCTAGCCATCCGTTTAGCTCGAATTCCTACAGCAGTGACTGGGCGACGAACCGCGCGAAGCAGCACCCTCCCAACCCATATCATGCATGGCACAAGACGTGCAGCGGCGCACCCTGCCTGGTCCGTTTTTCTTCGACCTCCGCCACCCTCCCCCCCTCTGCACCTGTACTGTATACAGCAGCAAGTGCTATCCTCGTTGTGTAAGGCGCGTTCTAGATTTCTACCGCCGTGGTTCACTCGCACCCCTTTCTGCCCCTCGTTGCCCCCCTCCGATTCGTCAGGTACTTGGGCGAGACCGAGGCCAAGCTGAGAGCCCTGTTCTCGAGGGCCCGCGCCGCGGCGCCCTGCATCCTGTTCCTCGACGAGCTAGACGCGATCACGGCGAAGCGCGGCGACGGTGGCGGCGGCGACGAGGGCGAGGGGGGTGGAGGGGCGGGGAGCGTTCACGCGCGCGTTCTCAGCACGCTGCTCAACGAGATGGACGGAGTCGCGTGCGGTGAAGGTGGCGGCACGTCGGCTTCGTGGCCGTCGCCGACGGGAGGCGGGGGGGTTCTCGTCCTCGCGGCGACAAACCGCCGGGGCGCCCTCGACGCCGCGCTGCTCAGACCGGGGCGGCTGCACGAGAGCGTGGAGCTGGGCTTCCCTGGGAAGGAGGACAGGGAGGGGGTGCTAAGGGTTCACGCGGGCCGCTTGCCCCGCGGGGCGGCTGGGATAGACCTGGCGCGGCTTAGCCAGGACGACGTGTCGGGGGGGCTCACCTGTGCCGATCTCGAGGTCATATGGTAGCGAATAGTGGAGACGGGATGGTTTGGGGAGACACGGAGGGGTGTCTCCGACCTTAATTTGATCGAGCATGTGGAAGTTGACGTGTGTAGGTTACCGTTAGTGCCCTGCCCGGTTTCTTGTCTCCCGGGAGGCTTTTCGGTAGGTAAAATGTGGGCGGATGTGTTTTACACCTTAAACATTGCGTTGCGCCTTCGCTGCAATTGGGGCATGCGGATGAGTTCTTCGCTCTCTTTTGGATCGGAGTATGCCTCGGCCACACCCACGTGCTGAGGCCTCGGCTCGAAGGGCATCAAACCAACCTAGGAGCTTCGCTGATTGTCTCATCATACCCTGATTTGTGCCACGACCTCCCCCTACGGCGGTGGCCGTCGTAGATCGAAAACTCTGCTGTTGCCGTTCACGTACATGCGGCGCGAATCCAAAGGCGGTGGTGCTATCGTCGCTCGGAGTTCCCGACACAACTGCCTGAAAATCGCAACATTTACTCTGTAGATATGTAAATGAGCAAATACGAGTTGTATTCACCGTCTTGCGCACTTTGGACAAGTGGTGAAAACAGCGTCGCTAGACCAGGCCAGGATGATGTGAACGGTGGCAACCGAACACCAGACGACAGAAGGCGGCAGATCGCGACATACGATCCACAAGTGAAGATGGCAGCAGCGCCGAGAACGCCCAAAACGTTGGCGGCATCGCTTGAAGGAGGAGGGAGCGGCCTCCGTCTCCATGTAGACCCGTGTTCAATTGTCGAAGACGAAAACAACAGTAAAATCGTAGCGGCCTGTTTTAAGAGCCACGGAAATTGACGTGTCCTGTACTCCTCCCCCCGTGTTGGCAGGCAGCCTGTCGGGATGCGGCGATGATGGCAGTGAGAGAGGATCTACACGGCGCGAGAGAGGTACGTTGTCCCTGTAGATTGTGTCTGGTTGTCAGCCTCTTCCTCATGGAGTGCTGAGCACTTTTGCGGCGCAGCCACCTCTGCCCTTCCTCCCGCAGAGTCAGTCTCTGTTTTTCTCGGTATCTCTCGTGATCGAATTTTCCGGGTGGCGAATTCGAGCAAGCCTGCACTGAATATTTCATCCTGCAGTCAGTGCGGTGAACATGATTAGGTACGTTTGGTGGAAACTGTCTTCAACCAGCGTGAACAGACACCGTCACCAGTGGAGAACTTGGTGTTGACGTTTATTCTCCCAGATTGTAGTCAGCAACTTTCGTCGTCAAAAAATCTGCAAAAATAATACGCGTACGGAGAATCGAACTCCGGGCAAGTGCTTGGAAGGCACTTATGTTACCACTACACCACACGCGTTGACCAATGCCGATTTTACAGAGGGTTTGCGCCTCGAGAACACCAAGACTAGAAGTTATTGAAGTCCGTGTTTGATGCGTTTTATCCAAGAAGTCGCTTCAGACATAGAGGGCTTCTTACGCTTGCCCCTGTTGTGCTTCTCCGAGCCGAAAAGTTAAGATTCCGAGCAAACGACTAACTCCGTTGGTGCCCGTGGCTTCTGCCGCTGGTTGCTGTTTTCGCCGTGGCCGTGGTGGCAGGTGCGCCCCGAACACCTCCGCAAGGCCTTGAAGGATCGGGTCGCCGGACGCCTCAGAACCCGAAGGTTCACCTTCTCCATCGGACAGAATCCCTAGAGGGTGGCCTACATAGTGCAAGAGGTTTTGGTGTAATTGAGGGCTGCGCTGAGCCTTCTGAGAGCCTTGCGCACAGCGAAGGAGCTGAGATGATTTTTCCTATATTTCTTTGTCTAATACCTGGTATGTACCTCTAGCGCCTCCTTCACACGTCCGCTTTAGCGAGGATGCACGGCTCTTCTCCGCAGCGTGAACGTACCACACTTTGTTTTTTCCTGAGTATTGCCGCGAATATCCGATAAATCGGTGTATCGTGTACTCTGTGGACACCGGCTGGTGCATAGTTTTCGCGGCAAGGCATGAACATTCTCGGGCTTGGACAACCTCGCCTGCAATCAAGCAGCGAGGCGTGCGTAATGGTGGAGTTGGGTCGGCACTGGTGCGTCAGGTATGCAGATGCGCGGGCCTCTAGGCCGTCGGTGTAGGCAGCAATGCCTATCTCACCTTTGTGCGCGGAGGCAGACGTCGTCAGAAAGGTGGACGGGCACTATGCACACGGCCCTAGGTTTGCTAGAGGGAGCTATACTGTCTCAGTAACCTGGTTTTGCCATCAAAGGAGGAGGGGACAGGTGGTGACGAGCTGATTGGGCTGGTTGACCCTTCGGCGCGAGAATTTTCAGACCAAGAACCCTAAGTGCAACGAATGAGAAAGCGAGGAACCGACTGGGGAGGACAGCAACGAGAGCGTGTACGAAGCGGAGCGGGTCGAGTTTGGTCATGCTAGGACTGGTCACAGCAGCACCGGAGCAGCGGAACCGGAGCATGCGGACGGCATCGAACCGTGCCGTACGGACAAACATCTCTTGTGTTGTCAATTATTTTCCGTTTTTTTCCTGAATATGGTGATGGGTGTGTGTGATGACGTCACTGGTTTTATAGAGAGACGCGGCAGAAATGGCGTGGATAACCCGGGTGCCTTAATTGTGTACCTTCATCATGGAAGACCCCTTCAATGTGGAACGATTCCTAGTGTCGATGTTTAACACTGCTGCGCCTAGCACAGATAGATGCTCTGGATAGATTCGGGTGATTGTCAATTGCAATGATGACTTTGGTGGGGTGTTCTTCATTGTATGTCCACGGACTCATTCTGACAGCACTTCAGACAGCAGCTGCATGCCCCGAGCTTGTGTACCATGCACCATGGTGTTATTATTGTACAGACAGCCCTTTAGACAGCAGTACGCTCTAGTCGACATTCATTTTGGTTAAATGCGGGACAAGGGGGGTGATGCTGCTGCTGTAGTCGAATTGTGATGTGTGGGCGTGTAGTTCAGTTGTGAGCACGCAAACGTGCTGCAGGGATTGCAGGTGTACCTCCTCGGGCTTGCGCACCCGTTTCTTGCTAATACTGTGTGTTCTATAGATCTTCTGATGGCTCTAGCATTTTTGTGACCACGGACCGAGTCTTTGCTGGATTTTGGGATTAGCAAACTGACACGAGTTGAATGCGAAGAAAGACAACAACAACAACAACAACAAAAACAACGCCTAGGGGTGACAGGTCACTTCAACCCCCCCGTAACCGTGCCCGCTGGCCACCTGTGTAATAACTGTGTCCATCCCCCCTTCTGTTATTTGTGCGAATCCTCTATGTGGGACCTATGGGCGAATCATCTGTTTAGCTATCGGTTGATCTTATGGATACACGAAACTGGTACCCGATTGCTGCTGTATAACATGCCGACTTGCCGACGAAGACGTCTCGCGAAAAATTGTAAAAAATTCGAACCTGCCCCTATCCCCAGTCGAGCACGGCGGACCACCCGCGGATTGTTCTAGAAAAAAAAAGGTATACTACCGCTCGAACGCGGGACCAAGTATTCCAGTGCTCGCGGAGACGGAGAAAACACACACGCCGCTTGGCTCCTGAGCTGCCTCTACAGCAGTAGCCAGTCTACGACATACCTCTTTCTCTCTTTCTCTCTCTCTCTCAGTAATTTTTGTGCGCTATGCGGCGCGCACAGGGGAGCCAGCTGCATCTGGAGGAGGGAGGAGAAGTCGGAGTAGAGGGTGCTGCTGCTGGTGACGTGATCAGCGGCCGTACAAGCAGCAGGAGTATGGGTGTCACGGCAGCGTCGGCACCGCAGGCGGCGGGGGTGCAAGCGGTGGCTGACGGAGCAGCGACAACCTTGCGAAGACGACGGCGAGGAGTGGCCGTGGGCATGGTGAGTGTGTGAGGGCTTCCTGCGCCGGACAGCTGTTTACTGTGCTGTGAGTGTGAAGGCGTGGGTGGGAATCCAACACAGGTAGCACACCGGCGAAGAAAACAGAACTTTGCTTGGCATAAGGATGTGCCATGCTTTTCTCGCCGATGAACAACATGGCATCGGGAGGAAACCGAGCAGTGTGACGTGTTGTTGCCGACGCGACAGCCGCTGCTGTAGCTCGCGCTAGCCGGCAACGAACGCCGGGGACCTTAGGCCCCGCACTGGGGGACGAAGTTGGTCTCTCTCCGAACATGATATACCCGCGCGTTTTTCTTGGTCTCACGTGTCTCAAAGCTCCAAATAGAATTCCTCTCGAGCATGGCGCGAGCCATGTGTGCAAGGGCGTCGACCATGGTGGTGTCCGCGGTTGGTTGTTAGTTGTGGGTGCAGAGCGCATTTCCACCTCTGAATCGAAGCCCGGGATGAATTCGCTACCACGCCACGCCCAATGACTGGAGCGCTAAGCAACCCGACGCAGCACTTGATTCGCGTTGCAGGAAGGGCCGTTACGCGCGCTGGTTCCACTCTGTCAGTACAGTCGACCCCTCTTTAAGACACACCGCGTTTTTTTTTTTTGGAGTGTCTTTAACGCGGGGAAGTGTCTTTAGGATTCCGGGGCCACTAATTCACCGTCCCCGGGGTCAATGGAGGTGTAACATGTGTCAAAATACGCGCATTTGAAGCAGGAATGCGACCACGAAATTGTGCTGCTTAAAAACTGCGACAACACGTCAATTGAAGGCCGCAACACTACTGCTGCTGTACTCCAATACTGTACACATGTTTGAATTTCC